AGGTTGAGCTGTTGTTCAGCATCTTAGCTGTGGAGGGCAGTGTCACTGGCCCTCATATGTGGGATCCGAACCGGGGCCCTCTGTCATCCCAAGCCAGCTCTTAACCAATGCGCCACTCGGCCGGCCCTGTCTTTGAATTTTTAATGTAGTAAAAGCTCTAGTCATAGTTTCAAAAGACTTATGTAAGTTGTTGAAATGGGTATTGTTGTTAGTTACTCCTTACCTGGTGATGGTAATAAGAATTATGAGGCTGACCTGCGGGCCATCTTTTCTGCACTGCTGCATTTCCTTACCATACTATTCAATTTCTATACCATAAGGTATGAAACCTGATTGTTACTACTTCAGAGGAAGGTGAGAAATTAAAGCACTTTAAAATCAAATTTTCTGCTGGCTATAAATGGTGATTGTCATGGGGTATCATTTTCTTACAGATTTGTGTGTGGGTCTTAATATATATTAAGGTGACTGAATCACAACACTGAGAGTTATTGCCATTAGAAAGAAAAGTTCAATGTTACTCACTGTTCTCTTAGAAATGACAGGCATGGTACTGCACACAGGGTTACAGGGAAGCACCAGTTTCGGTCAGGAGGCAGAGAGGAGCTAGAGGAATACATAGACCTCAGCCTTTCTTAGAGTTCCCAACGCAGGCAAGTCGAGTGAGGCAAGGCAAGGCAGGGTGAACAACTTAGGATCGGCACATTTGAATAATTTCAGGGGGTTTGGGGGTATAGGGACTGCCACTAGGTGTCTGGTGTGTGGCTCTGGGTTAATTTAGAGCAGGGGAAATATTGACTTGGTGTGTGTGAGTTGGATAAAGGAGGTGGTTTGGAGCATGGGCTCTGGGTCACAAGGGAAATATAAACAGCTCTGGCTCTGTGATTAATGGATGCCAAATAAACAGAATCTAAGAAAACACAGAACACTTACTACATGTTAAAAATAATTATTATAGGAAGATTAAATGTCAGACTTTGAGGAGAAAAACAAGTTTTCACAGGCTGTAGTAGAGGTCTAAAATTTGAGTGAAAAGAATGGTCCTGTTTCAAGTTGATAAATCTAAGAATTTTTCTTTTTTTTTAAGATTTTATTGGAGAATTGGGGAAGGGAACAGTGTTGGGGAATTGGGAAAGGGGAACATTGTGTTTTTCCAGGACCCATTAGCTCCAAGTCAAGTTGTTGTCCTTCAGTATTAGTTGTGGAGGGCGCAGGCTCAGCACTAAGTCCAGTTGCAGCTTTCAATGTATTGGGTTGTCAGAAAAGTCATGACGTATTTTTTCTGGTTTTCATTGCAAAAATGCGTCATGACTTTTCTGACAACTCAATAGTTGCGGAGGGGGGGCGGCGGGGGGCCCATGTAGTCCACCAGATCATTGTGTTGTGGAACCAGAAACCTTGTTGTTAAGAGCATGCGCTCTCACCAGCTTAGCGGCAGCTCCGCTTGGGCGCAGTTCACTGGCCCATGTGGGAATCAA